AAATCATTCTTAAACTTTTATTTTCGATATCAAAATAATCCTTCCACCAATTAAATAATAGGTGGCACGGTTGAAATACCAGCAAATCAATTTTTTTTTAATCAATGACATGAAAAAAAAAAAACATAGTTGACCAATTTTTTTATGATGAGTTGGCTTTTGTTATTTATTTAAAAATAATGATATATTTTTTTCATCAACATCATCTCGTCTTCCTCTTTCACTCTCTCTCCTTTACTTTTTCTTTTCCCTTACCTCTGCAAACCTAGATCTGGGTTTCCTCCCCCCATCACTCCTTGCCAGCACCTCTGAAATGCCAACCTGGCTCTTTGCCGCCACCTGATCTGCCTTCGCATCCAGTTCCTTCCAATTTCCTCCCCCCATCATCCCCTGCTTCTTCATCTTCAAGATTTGTCGACGTTTCCTCTTCTTCCACGCCTTCTTGCACAACCTCGTGGGTACCTTGTAGAACCCTAGCACCAGTAGCTCCATCACCGTGCACGAACAACAATAGAAAACATGCCGCGCACTCTGCCGTCCCCGCACCCACCACCTGTGCAAACCTCCTCCCTTTTGTCACCCTCAACGACGATATCGATGACTTAGTACTGTCGTCCATGAATAGAAGCGGCTGTGTCCGCCCGTTCACCGGCGTCGATCTTATCAAAGTCTGACGAATCATGTTTGGTGAGATGGGTATCAAAGAAACCGAGATTTCTTGGATTCTTTTATACAACAACAACAAGAAGCAGCAGCTAAAGAAACTAAAAAAATTCGGAGATAAACAGGTGAAGGGTCGAGAAGAAAAGATGGATATAATTATTTACTTTTAATTGTTAAAAATTTTTAATTATTATTTATATAAATTGTTAAATTTTTATTTAAAATATTTGTTGAAAAAATTAAAAATCAAACTAATATTATTAAAAATAAACAAAAAATATTATTTTATCAACTGCTCTATTTAAATCATTTACTTAGTATTACAGTTGAAAATAAAATTAATTTTTTTATTTATATAAATTAATTGTAAAAAGTATCATAAATATACTTTGGATATACACTATAAAGGTATAAGTTAGAACCCAATAAAAAAAAGATGGGGATTTTTTT